CTGTTAGGGTTGAATAAATACATTGATGCTTGTTACGTACAAAGTGAGTATCAGGGATTTTCTTTCATTTAATCTCACCTTTTCCATAACAGGGACATTTAGTGAACTGCTCTTACAGAGAGCTAACATGGGGATGATGGGTGGAATGACCCCTTCAGCACTGACTCAGGCCATGGGGAATACCCAGGAGCTGGGTCCACTGCTTTTGCTGCAAACATAACCACCCCCTGCTCTGTCCCTCCGTTTCTCGATTGGTTGGATATCTCTATGGAAGCTTCCTCACATAAACATTCAATCACCCTGAACGCAGTCACCCCTTACCAATGGCCCCAGAAAGGAATTGCCATTTCTGATTGGTCCCAGGGGCATCGTTTCTTGTCTGTCTTCCCTTCCCACATCAACAACTTTCTATAATTCAGAAACAAGTTTCTCAAGAAAGCTGAAAGATCACAGGATTTTTTTTAAATAAAACAATAAACTGTGGGTGCTGGAGATCTGAAACAAACAGAAACAGAAATTGCTGAAGAAACTCAGCAGGTCTTGCAGCATCAGTGGAGAGAAAGCAGAGGGTTTTTATTCCGTTCCAATCTCAGCTGATGTTAATACTGGACAAGCCAGATCTCAGAATGAACCCTGTAGACCATACGGTTCTTCCTTTTTAAGCATAGAGGCCGGTTATTGAAAACAAGACGCTGCCTGTGTACTTTTAACACGGCAATAAAATGCTCATTGAACAAAGAAAGCATAAACTATATTACACTAGACAAAGCAGTTGGTAAGGTTTCATTAGGAACTTCTGAAAAGGATTTAAAACTTACAGTATTCCCTTTTGAACCCAGCAATCTCCTGACAAACACCAAAACCCTAGTGATGAGTTCCCACTGTCTCTATGTCAAGGCTTCTTGTTCAGGCTGGTACAGCTGCTAATGGTTTCCTCCAGCACATTCCCTCGGTGTTGGATCCTTCAGCTGGAATTGTTCCCTGAGAAGCTGAAAGCAAAATACAAACTAAACTCCTGTACTGTAATGTCACCACAAACACAGGACTTCCCCAAGCTCTGGTTCTGACAACGTTTCTATTGCACACACTGACTGACTTCTGGATGATTCGGCTTTCTTTGTATTTGATTTATTATTGTCACATGTACCTAAGTACAGTGAAAAGTTTTGTTTTGCGAGTAGTACAGGCAGATCATAGCAAACAAGGGCATACAGGTCATAGGGAGCTTAGACAGAACGAGGTGTACAAGGTTATACTGCACAGGAGATGCACAAAGCACGATCAACGTTAGTAAGATCAATATTGTTTGAAGTTAGAGAGGTCCATTCAGCAGTCTAAAACCAGCAGGGGACAAGCTGTTCTTGAACCTGTTGGTGCGTGTGTTCAAACTTCTATATCTTCTGCCTGATGAAAAATGTTGCAAGAGAGTATAACTGGAGTGGGAGAGGTCTTTGATGATATTGGCTGCCTTTCTGAGGCAGCGAGAAGTGTAAGTAGAGTCCATGGATGGAAGGTTGGTTTTCGTGATGGTCTGGGCTGTGTTCACAACTTTCTGTAGTTTCTTACAGTCCTGGGCAGAGCAGACCAGACCGTATGCACCCGGATAGTGCTGTCTATGGTGCATCTGTAAAAATTGGTGAGGGTCCATATGGACATGTCAGATTTCCTTCGTTGCATGAGGAAGAGGAGGAATTATTGTGTCTTCCTGACCGTCTACGTGGGGATCCAGGACAGGTTGTTGGTTATTGTCACTTCTAGGAACATGAAGCTCTTAAATCCCTACACCTCAGCTCCATTGATGTAGATGGGGGCATGTTCTCCTCCTTTCTTCCTGAAGTTAATGATCAGCTGTTTAGTTTTGCTGACATTGAGAGAGAAGTTGTTATAGCACCAAGCCCTCTATCTCCTTCCTGTGTTCTGTCTCATCACTGATACCCTGCCTACAAGGGTGATGTCATCAGTGAACTTGTAGATGGAGTTCCGATGAAATTTGGCCACACAGTCATGGGTGTATAGGAAGTACAGTAGGGGGCTGAGTATGCATCCTTGCAGGGTACCCGGTGTTGTGGATTATTACAGAGGAAGTGCTGTTACTTATCCTCACTGATTGTGCTCTGTGGGATCAGGAAGCTGAGGATCCAGTTGCAGAGGGCAGAGCAAAAACCAAGGTCTCGGAGTGTGGAGATTAGTTTGGTTGGGATTATAGTGTTGAAGGCAGAGCTGTCGCCAAGAAGTAGAAGCCTTACGTAGGTATCCTTATTATCCAGATGTTCCAGGGATGAGCGCAGGGCTAGGGAAATGGTGTCTGCTGTGTACCTGTTGCACCTTTAGGCAAATTGCTTTGTATCCGTGGATCCCTGTCACGAAACAACAGCAGATGTTTTGCATTGTGCTTTTTCTTAATACACGGAATTTTTTTTTCCTTTTTTTTATTCATTCACAGGATGAGGGCATTGCTGGCCAGACAGCACTTATTGCCCATCCCTAATAGCCCAGAGGGCAGTTCAGAGTCAACCACATTGCTGTGGTTGCTGGGAATGGCCAAGCCTCATCTCTTCACTGCAGAGAATGTAAAACCTCATTACAATGCACAGGCCTCCAGATTCCCCAGGAGCACGCTATGGAAACCAACAAAAACAAAGTAAAACAATACGAGAGGAGCAGGTGAAGGCCCTGTGACAGTCAGTGTCACTGAGGGGAGGGGG